TATAAATACACACACACACACACACACACACACACACACTTTTTTTTTTTTAAAGAGGTAACCTAAAACAGCAACATGAATGTCTTCAGGCAAAACGCACCTAGATTTTTTAAAATTACACTTCCACAATACTCCAGGGATATTAATTGGACTAAGATAAAATGCAGAAAGTTTGTATTAAGCACCATTTTAAAAATAATCAAAGTTCTGTGAATTGCTAACCACTACAATATTATAATGAGTAAGTAATAATGCTGTAGGTATTCCCAGAAATTCTGAATATAAACCAACACTGATTTAAAATGAAAAACAAACGTTCTGCGAAGAAAAATGGAAATTCAGCACATATCACACATTTTTATGACTTTTACCTATCTAAATTCACTTTACTAGTAAAAATACATAAGTTATTCCAAATCACCCGGAAAAGCTATTACATTACCCTGTGGTATGGTAGAAACAATCAAGAACTCCACAAAGTTGAGAAATCTCACTACTAGCCACTAACCAATACTAAGTTAATGGTTCTTAGCCTTTTTTAAATGATGGATCTCTTTGAGAACATTATGAAAATAATGGAGTCTTGCCCCAGAAAAATGCTAATATAATGAAGCATACTCCTTCCAAGTGATCTAGGGACCACTGAATTAACTGCCTACAGCATGAACCAGGCAAAGTACATCATTTTTTTGGATCTCAGTTTCCTGTGAGTGTGTGTAGGGGGAAGGGGAGTAGATGAAATTTTTCTCTAATTTAGGATTAGGCTGGGGAAGTGGCAGGGGGTACTGGAGGGAAAAAGGAAAAAATTCTTCAAAAGAGAAACCTACATTTATGACAGTTTCCTAACTCTTAAATTTCTACAAGATCTTAAATAGGTTGTAGACTATTTAAGATCTTGGAAAGACGTAGGAAAGAGCAAGAAGCTCTCTAGTTCAAATAATTTACTCATAGTGCTTGCTGTTAACATAATCACACACAAGTTAGCATCTAAATAGTTAATTACATTTCGTCTAGGATGAAAAGAACCATAAGTATACATGTGGTAGCATTACTGGTTATAGGTCTGGCATCACGAAGGATTAAAATGTTTAACCCTTTTATTAGTGACACACACACACAAGAAAATCGTTAAAGAAAATTTCCTATTCATTTGTCAGGCTTTGAAATCACAGGCATTTTTGATAGATATCCTAAAATTTTGTTTTACATTAAATTGGATATAGGCCTTATATACAGAATATTCTGGGGGTCACAGGAAAGCCTATATATATTTGCCTAGAAGTTCCAATCAATTTTACTTTAGTAAGTCGATGTATTATTTCACAAAATTCATCTGTGTTTTCAGAATCATAGTCACCTAAAGTTTTTTTTTAATTAAAGCTCTTTTAAAAACAATATACACAACTAGGAAACTGCTTTGCCTGCTAAGAGCCCAATTTCAAAACCAAAACTGGTTCTAACAAGCTACATATAATCATATACAGGAATTTGGGAAATCCTGTCTCATTTATGAGGTGCTAATTACCATTTGTAAAATAAATAGGCAAATCACTAATCTCTCTTTTTCCTTCATCCATTAGCTGAGTTCATCACTGGACAAGGCCTTCAACTGAAAACACACAGTGAATAAACTTCGACTTCATCAAATTTGTTTCACAGAGGTCTCAAGAATGGAAAATACTGAAACTTTTTCGGAGAAAATAACCATTACTTTATTTATTTTTTTACACTGTGATGACAATGTAAAATCCCTGCCTCCCAGCACTTACTAGCATAATCAAGAATTTCATGCAATTAGAAAACAAAATAGAACACTAATGGGACGACTTTGTTAATACCTAAATTGGCTCGGAAATGACTATGCTTCGGTTCCAACACCCTTAAGATAAATGCTCGATTTTTAAAAAGCACTTAGTTTTGCAAAGTAATTAGGCAGACAGGCAAGGGGAACCGTAGTATTTCATATCTTAAAGGGAATAACTCTCTAAAACCATTACAAAAACAATGTTTCGCTCAATGGAACGTAGATCTATAAAAAGCCCATAAACCCCCTCCTCTTTAGCTATCACACGTTCTCTGACAGTCTTTCTGACTGAGAAGCCTTCAAAAGCCTTTCTACCTAGAAAACATGTTCCAGAATTGAAGGGAAGGGGGGGGTGGGGAGATTTCGCTGGAAGTTATACACCCTCCTCTCGGGAGAGCACGGACAACTTGGAGTCTTCGGGCCCCTTTCACCAAGCCTAGGAGGAGGGGCAAAATCGAGTCCCCAGCCTGCGGGTAATCAAGCCTGAAAAAGTCCCCATGCTCAAGGCAGCATCTGGAACAATGCAGGAGAGCGGGGCGCCGCCAAGCTCCCGGGCAAGGGAGGTCTGCGCCCTCAGGAACCCGAGGGCTCCGGCCGTCCAGGCCCACGCTCGGAAACTAGGATCCGCCTGGCAGGAAGCGGCGACCACCAGACCCGGCCCGGCTGGCCCAGCCCGAGCCCGCGTACCTGCTCTGCTGGGGCTCGGTCCATGGCGCCTGCAGCCACAACGGGCCTGCTTAGTTGATGTGGAGAGCGCCTCGGGCTGCTTTCTCCATTGCCCCCCACCCGAGTCTAGACCGGGGTCCGGACCTCCGCCCCTATCTGGCTGGCCCCGACTCAGAATCCGGCTACGCCACTGACCGAGGAGGTGGCTCCTGCTCCAGGAGATGGAGGAGGCGGTGGCACTCTCGGGGAGGGATCATCTGGGACGGAAGCCGAGGAGGGCCCAAATGAGCCGGAGGCGTAGTCGGAAAAGGCGGTGCACGGCAGGGAGAGGAGGGAGGGGCGCCCAGAGGGGCAGTGGGCGGAGAGACTGCGGACGACCTGAGCAGGCGGTAGCGGAAGCCGGGCTGGCTCACCTGGAAGCTGAGGCCAGGTGGCGATTCCCAAGAGCTGGTACCCCAACCACTCTGCGCTTTGCGTGAGACTCAACTTACCCTCTGGACTGTTAAAATGGAGGGGTATCGGGCCACTTGCGAACCAGGACCTCCGGGTTCTGGTCTCTTCAGGGACCTCAGACACCACTTCATTATCCCGAACTACCTCTTCGTGAAGTTGGAAGAGTTTTTAGCTGCCCAGTGTACATAGGATCCTTTCTTTTGTTACTCAGCTAAAGACAGTTATAACTCTAAAGGAAAATACTACAGAATGACCACCAGAGAGAAACCGAATCAGGAGGCTCCACAAATACTTATTGGTTGTGCAATTTATTGCCCAGGTCCAGGTCCTAGGCTCACCTCCAGGCTGAGCTCACCTATCTCAGAATCTCAAATTTTACCCAGTCTGTATCACATCGCCCAACAGGTAATTATGTATTCTCTGGTATGTTACTTTTTTCATTGTACTTATTGATTGCTCCTTTTATCTCCAGTTCATTAGCTCCGTGAGGAAAGGGGTTTTGTGGCTATGAAATAGTACAGGACATTTATTTAAATTTAAGAACAATTTTAAGAAATTGTAAGAAAATGTTACAGTGCTCTTCTTTTTTAACACAACCCTAGAAAAGATTGCAATAAAAAATTAAAATTTATGAAGAAAAATATCTTAAAAATACTACATGTTACATGTGATACGATTAAATTTTAATTATTTTATTTGGCAACAAATATTTAATGTGTTAGGTGTTATGCTAAGTACTGGATGTGTAACACTTGACAAGACAGTGGAGGACAGAGGACATGTTTTTCTTGTGGGCAAGACACACAGAACAAGTAGTTACAGGTGACCTAAGCGTCATGAGAAAGAAAAGTTCAATAGGTTCTACTGTGGTGTGGGGTGGAAGGTCAAGGAAGTCATATCTAAGTAAACAGCATCCAAGCAAAGACATAAAGAGTGAGTAGGAGTTATAATTGAAGGAGAAGTAATAAAATTGTTCCAAGAAAAAGAAATGGCATGTGAGAGGACTCTGAGATAAGGGAGAGAATCCAGCATTAGTACTTTCAACAAACTTATGCCTTGAAATGAGAGTTCAGGATGAGAAGGATAATCCAATAAAGCAAGACCTCTGAGAAGGTGGAAGGAGATAGGAGTCAAAATCCAGGAGCAGAAATTGGCCTCAGATGGGATCAGGAACATGTCCACAATAACAGAAGGAAAGGAAGAAAGGATAGCTATGACTGCAGGTACATTTATAGGTTGAGGGAAGGCCTGTATAATAGCTTTTATTTTCTCAATGAAGCAGGAGTCAAGGTTATGTGCTGACAATGGAGGGAGGCAGAGTTGTGATGATCATGCATTTATCAAAACTCAGAAAACATGTGTTTAAGACATATGCATGTCATATATGTAAATCTTACATCAAAATGAAAAAGCCATAAATGAATACTGAATTCTAGAAACAAATGCATGTACCTATGTAACCCAAACCTCTAGATACAGACTGTTACCGTTACCCCCAGAAGCTTTTAAAACTTCACTGCTGAAATCAAATGTTTATCCTAACTACCTATACCAATGCCTGGCACGTAACAGGTGCTCAATAAATATTTGTTGAATAAATGAACATGTGATATATTAAATCGATTCTTTCCTCCAGGTTTGGGTTTTGGAGGGGAGGGTGGTGGAGCTTCTCAAATGTCTCAGATGCATGACATACGTGAAGTCACTTCCAGGCTTATGACCCTAGCCCTCAGCCCTTGGGCTTCTGAGGGTTCAACCCTCTGCTCGAGCCCTTGGGTGGTCAGCTAAGCTGCCTGCTTAACTGGAATCCCTTTTAAAATAGCTTCAGGTGGAGTTCTCTCCCACCATCCCTGGGAACATTTTGCTAAACTTGGTTTATCCCATATCCATCCATTCATCCATCAGCCCATCAATCCATCTTATTTTAGATATGTACGTATGCACATAAGTAAATAAATGAATAAATAAATAAATAAGTAAATAAATAAGTAAATAAATAAATAAATAAATAGAAACTCCTACGTAGTTTGAGGTAAAGGGAAGCATCTCTTTTTTCCCCATGGGAGGTGTAGGCAGGTATCAGATATCACCTCCAGAGCAATATTTCATGAGTCATCGGTCCCCCCACTTCACCCTCTGTGGGCTGGAGATGAGTGATGAATAACACTGAACCACAATTTCTTAGCATATCTTAGCTATACCCCTTATAAGCCATGTGTCCTTAAAAGTCACTTAAGCCTCTCTGAGCCTCTGTTTCTTCATCTACACATTGCATAGGGTTTTTGAGAGACTCAAGTTAAGGTAATGAATGTGAGAACACATTGCAAGCTCTAGATGAGTGAATCTCAATCTGGGGCACTTTTAAAACTAAGATGCTAAGGCCCCTGACTTAAAATGATTAAGTCAGAATCTCTTGAGCAAATTGCAGAGCCAGCCAGAGTAGCCATAAAATCTTAAATCAAATCATGTCAGTCTTCTCTTCAAACCTTCCAATGAAACTTTCCATCTTAGAGGAAAAGGCAAAGGCCTTACAGTGGCGATTGAGGCCTCATGATCAGCCCTATTCTCCACCCTCACTCAGCTCCAGTCGCCCTGGTCATCTTGCTATTTCCCTAACATTCCAAACACATCCCCATTTGGGGGCCTTTGTCCTTGATGCTGCCACTGCCTAGAACACTCTTCCCTGCCAGTCATACAACATGGCTCAACCCCTCTCGTCAGGCTTTTGCTGGAATGTGACCTCTGAGTGAGGCCTTCCCTGACCACCCTCTTGCAAGCAGTCTCTTTTCCTTTCCAGCTTTTTCTCCATTGTACTTATTACCATCTAAAATGCTATATATTTTACTTGTTTTGTTTGTTGACTATTATTTTCCACTAGGATGAAAGCTCTATGAGGGCAACAATTTTGTTTGTTTCATCCACTGTTGGGTAGTCCCAGTGCATAGAACACTAGCACAAAGCAAGTCTTCAGTAAATGTTTAATGTAGTTAAATGAACATTCTGAGCATGCACCTTACTCAGCCCCAAAACTTCAGTGATGGTTCACCACCTACTCAAAATGTTTTCTGTGCTTTCCTCTCACCCCGACTTTGCTCACGTGGTTCTTCCTACTTAACGTAACCTTCCCTTCTTGAAACTCATTTCCTTCATTTCCTGCATGAAAAGAATCTTCAAAATTCCTCTAGCTTGTTGTGCCATATCCTGCCTTAAATTGTTTGTGTACTGTATATAATTATTTATGTAATTATTTCCTTTCTCAGAGTGTACACTCCTTGAGAATAGTGTTACTCAGCAATGTTTGTTGAATGAACAAATGAGCCTGCCTTTGTAGCTGACTCAGATACACACCAGAAAAGGAAAGAGAGGTAATTAAGTGGTAGATTTAAATACCAAAACCCCAGCTCCAGTGAGAATACAGGTTGCATGTGAGTAAAATAAAAATAGAAGATGATAACATCCAAAAATAATCTGTGGATGGTAAGATCAACCACACAAAAGATCAACAACCATAAACTCCTTTGCAAATAATGTCATTTAGGTAAGAGTAAGTTGAAAAGGAATGAGTTTGTTGCATAAATGGATTCTGAGAGAGAAAAAGTTAGACATGGCATTTATATTTATGGCAGTGAGGTCTTCAGGCCAAGTCAGCTTAAAACAGGAAATAACTTCCCAGATTTATTATGATGTCCTTCAGATTATTTTCATGAACTATTCCAAATCTCAATCTTTTTTGGAGGACTATCTTATGATAGTAAAAACAATAAATCTTTGACACTTCCTCTTCATTCAGAAGTGCTATATAATCTGAAATTGAAAAATCTCCTTCAACTCAATGTTTTTCTTCTTCTTCTTCTTCTTTTTTTTTTTTTGTCTTTCTTTTTAAACCTTTGTTAACAATCTATCTAGTTTTTTCAAGTCAGTGACTCATATCCTCTGTTCCCTAAACCTAGGCTCTTTCTGGAATGTCCTTTCTGAACCAGCAGGAACTTGGTTCATCAGCAAAGCCTGATTTTGAAGCTTGGAATTTATGAAGCTCTACCTGTGAATGTGTAATTCTTGTTCTACTTGATATGTTACCAAGTTTCCCTAACGCTTCCAACCACCTTGACTAAGCAAGACATGTATCCAGTCTCAGAAGGGAAAATAAGAAATGCTAGTTAAATAACTAAAGTTGGCAGAGATGAGGCCTCTGAAAAATTCCCACTCCAAAGAATGCCACTCACTAAAAGAAGCATACAATACAGATCAGAGAATTTTTTTTTTTACTTTTCCTTGGGTTTTAAATGTTTTGCATAATTACATCAAAGTAGCAAGAACAGGATAAATAAAAGAAAATCACCCACCAACTCACATTTCTAACTTATGAAGAATTTTTTTCTAGTCTGCTCATCTATATGCATAGACATCTATATGACACAATTTGTATTTATGTAACCTAGAAACTCTGAGGCCTATTATAAAATGGAATACAAGCCCACTCTTTAGAAATGAGATAGGAAAAAAATCACTGCCCCCCACAACATCTTGGGCCTGTATAAATGAGATTTGGATGCTTGGGAGAAACCTGAAGCAGACTGGGGGGTTCTGAGAGACGAGTTCCCCTGCCCCACGACTGATGCCAGCGTATGCCTCCATCAGCCTGACACATGGCCCAGGAGGTCCAGAGACTCATCACTGACCCTAGAGCACAAAAGTATTTCTCCACAAGACCTCAGAAGCCATTCCCATCCCCTTTTAACAACTGGAATCTTCATGTTGATGATTATGTGAAATCCATGCTCTCTTACCAAACTATCTAGGC